CAGGCATCTGTTGTATCTGTCAAGCTATCCCGAGTGCAGTGCTGTATCAGTCAGAGTGACAGTCTTTCTTCTTGCGATGCTGGGAGTGTCCCAGAGTTGTTCTGGAATTTCTCCCAAAATAGCACCAGCACTGTGATCCAAAGGGAAAACGTTTGAGAAGTCATGAGTGAAAGAAGGGATTCTGAATCCATGTCTTCACTTGGGATTCTTGGAGAGCCCCTGGAGCAGGACTTCTAACTGGCTGTGGGGTATTTCCTGTTTTCATTCAAAGACCTCATGAATAAAAATCATAAGTTACTTCTTTCCCCGGTGGTCCTTGCCACAACGTAGATGCTGAAGCATGAAAAATAAAGGCTCTCAGAGAATGTACTCGAGCTTATAGAAGGAAGATATATTCTTTCTCCATACTGAAAATGAAAAATAACTCTGTTTTGACTTTCTGGCAACTTCCAGTGTGCATATCTGAGGAAAAGGCAAGAACCTAAGTTCTCTAGAGCATCGTATGACAATGATATGCCAGGGCCAAGGACAAAGTAGAGAAGTGTAATGAGGCATAAATAAAATAAAATCAGTCTCTGAAGTGTTGTAGAACAGGAGAAAACAAAAAACCTAATACATTATTTAAATCTGCAGCTTGATCACTGTATGAATGGATGCTGAGACGTGTTTGACAGAGTATCGATGGACTGGACTTGGCAGACAAGGTGCTCCTTGCGTTCCCGAGTCCAAAGTTCTTCATATATAAGAACACAATTTTTAAAAAAAAGAAAGAAAAAGTTGAAAAGTACATCTTGGGCTGTTGATTTCTGCTAGGTTTTTGTCCCTCACTACCTGTTCTCTGTGATGAAGAAGTCACTGTACTGTCACTTGTGCTCTATGTCCATCGCTTGTTTTTTATCCCAACTGTTAAGTTGCAATCATTTTAGTCAAATTTTTGTGGGTTTTTCTCCCCTTTTTGCTCTAGTTTTAAATACAAGTATTGCCAGACACCATGATTCAACAACATTTATGAGTGAAATGCAAAAGTAAGTGTTGAGGTATTCTTAGTAAGAAGAGAGTGAGGCCTCCAGTCTTTCAAACACATGTAATTAATTCTGCTAAACCTAAGGACATACATGTGTGCCCTCTCCTTGCATGTTAAATTAGCATTTGTATCTACCTGGCAATGTGTATGTACAAATAAGGAAGAAAATGAAATGTGCTCAATGCTTGGCCAAGGGCCTAAAATGCTATTTTAAAACATACCCAGAAAACAAGAAGGAGCATATTTAGTCAGGTGTTTGACATAAAAAGTAAGCTGGTACCGGTTTTGTTATTAGCTGATGTCTATGCAAGTTTGGTTGGCTGGTGGAGCAATTTCAAAATCAGCGTGCTGCTTCGGAGGAGGTAATACATTGCCAGTATAAAACCTATTGTGTTGGAAACTGTTAGCTCACAACTAAGGAAGAAGAATTTGATAGAGGAAAAAGCCCAGTATCTGTTAGATACAATGCTAAGTCAATGCTGAAGTTACTCATGTCTGACACCAACTCTGTTTTACCAAATCCTAAGACAGGGCTCACAGGCCTCGTATTACACCCACTCAACTTGAATATGCTAGACAGAGGCTGGAAATTACCATGAAATGCTGTCTTTTAACTCCCAGGGAGCTATGCCCGCAACATTCCTAAGGAAAAAGCCAAAACAAAGCATAGTTTAGTGTTTGCTGAGGTTGTACTCACTGATACCCTAAAATAGTCTAAGTGAGGAAATTAAAAATTAAGGATTAAATAAACCTTGCAAAATTGAGCGGTGACTTCTTACAAGAATGCTAAAATGAATGCTGCTGTTGCACACCATCTGCTCCGTTAGGCACAAGTATTAAAGTTAGTCACGACCTGCCTTATCCTGTAGTTTTTGTAACTGACTTTCAAGCTTTAGCAAAGTTGGTTTACTAAGGGACGGAATCACGGTTGAGGAGTCTGCATGCAGCAAGCAGTTGGGATTTTCCAGGAGGCTGTTTGATTTCCTGCTCCCCTGTTAATTACATGCTTCCGAGAAGCAGATTTATTACATTCAGACAAACTGCATGACCCCTTAAGCCCTGTGATGCAACGTCTATTATGTACGATCTGTTCTCTAGGGAATATCGTGCATTTGGCCTGAAAGCATTCCTTGACAGTATGTTTTTTTTCCTGTATTATTGAAATTTGCAATACAAGTAATTTTTTTTCAGGGTCTAGAACAGGGGTTCTGTAAGGGTGTGCTATCACAGCAGCCTGCCTGCTTTGTCTGCTTGCAGCAGCTGAGCTCGCTCCTACCCAAAATGAGTGGTTCCAGGGAAGAGGGAACGATGTGTGCACGGGCCCGTGGGCTGCTGAGGAAAGTGGGAAGAGCACCCAGGTGCTGCCACTTTTTTTTTTTTAAGATGAAAAGTTTTCTATCTAATAAATGAAAAGTTTGGGAAAACAGTGATCTCTATGAGTTGTTGCACAGAGCACAAGAAAAATGAGCTGTGTGGAATTTGGTTTTTTTCCCAGTATCGCTTTTCAGCATTTCATGATAACATTTTAAAGTGCGTTTTGAGAGGCATTTACTTACACTTCTTTGTGCCTCTATATTGTTCCCAGCTTCTGTAATACTGTTTCTAAGTTACTGTTATCCTAAATCATTTTTCTGAAGGAGGAGGTTATCTAAAAATGACAGCAGAGTTTGAAAAATTAAGCAAGCAAGCCAAATAAGGAGCGTGGGTACACAGGCAATACCAATGGCAGATTGATATCCAGTTTCCGAAATGTTCCTGATTCTGATTGTTACTCACCCGTTATTTGGACGTACATTGTCTGAATGCCTTCAGGACGGCAAAAGAGCTATTTGTTGCCATTTGACACTCCCCAGGAACACACCAAATAATAGGTTGGTAACATTCTGGACAAGAAAAGGCCATGGCCATGAGAAACACACGATGATAAGATTTCGGCTATTTTCCAGCTTTTGGAACAAACGCTCTGGGCGGGACACAAAGGCATACTGTTACCCACAGTCCTGTGCCAGGATGGGGCCCCCGCGCTACATTTCGTTTCCCAACATGTGATAGCGATCCTAGACCACAAGCCATCTAAAGATAGTTCCTAGGTCAGCGGTGAAACGGATCCTTACTTCAGAGCGTAGGAACACCACCTCTGTGACATCAGTTAGTTGCTGAGCTAGTATATGAAGCTGACTTCATGTTGTGAAATGCTCCAGCCAGCTGATCGCTGTGTGATAAAAGATGGTTTTATCTGCTTAAATGCAGCCTGAAGAGCAGAAACAAGGGTATCCCAAGCGGTTCAAATGTTGCGTGTTACCGGTACCTCCAGCGACAGCCGGGGGAGGGGGGAGGCAGCAGCAGGCAAACACTGGCAGCACTTCACACAGAGGCAGTCCCCTTCGGAGGTTTCTCACGCAGCTGCAATAGCTCTTTGGCTGCAGTTCGACCTTTGCGGATGTAGCCTTAGAGCAGGGTAAATGGGTCATGTAAAATAAATCACTGCTTTTCAATAGTGCTTCGCAGGGCATTATATATCACCGTAGATGTAAGGCTATTAAATGTGTGCATCAGCCTATGAAAATAGGTTTTCATCATAAGCTTAGTCTGGCGTGGAGCTTGGAGACCATCATCTATGAACCCCAAGGGAGAAAAGATTAGGTTCCAAGATTTTTGACTGCAAAATGCTAGGCCTAAGTCATCAGAATCTTAAGCTGTTCCAGTGACCAAAGTTATTTTTATTTTTGGAAGTGGATTATTGATGACACATCCCTAGAGCCCTCGGCACGCAACCTCAGCTGTCTGGACATTCCTTGCTGCCTAGCTACAAAACGCATCCGATGCTCTTATATGGTCTCTTGGCTGGGTCTGCAGGTCTCACAGCCTTCCAGCGGTTAAGGGCTTCGTGCCCGCTTGCGGGTTAACTGGTCTCCTACGTTACAGTACTAGGGAAACCTGGACTTGGAAGGTCATCGTTAGTTATACTCAAAGATCCTTGGAAATTCTGTCTCAACAACGTGTCTTCCTGAGTAGGTATCTTTACGTTAATAGTTCTCTGTCCCCACCCCCTAATTAGAGAAAGCAGCCGAGAACACAGCACCCACACAGCGCAAGGAACAAAGCAGCTGCATCCCACCGTCCAGCTGGCTGTTCAGAAACTGAGCAGCAGTACAGAGGATTTTTAAGAGACAGTTTCCTCTCAAGGAGGATATCAGATTGTCTTCTATGTAACTTTTACTTATTATTTTAAAAAACACTACTTCAAAACTTATTTCCAGCAAGAAAAATCCAGCTGGCCTGTCTGCCGATTACTCAGTGTAACTAACATACCAGCACCTAAACTGTGCTGAGAAGACAGGAGACAAACCCAGTGTTGCTAACAGAAGAAAACCAATCCTCTGAATCTTACACCATTTTGGTATTCAAAGGGAAGGAATAATCAAGACTGCCTAACATCTATCCCTAGCACAGGCTGCATGCATGGACACAAACAATGTTGAATTACATAGATGTGACAAGATCAGTCTAAAGAAGTGACAGTGCAACTGTTCTTTGGCTTAGTGTTACATAGCAACATTTCAACAAGACAGGGTTTCCTAGATCTCTATGCTGTTGTCTTTGCCACACGGGCATTGTAGGTGAAAGCTTCCATACCTATTCGTAAACAACCTTCCAAAAAAATCAGCTGTTGCTAGAACCTTGCAGGTATCCCACGGAGAAATACCTCAGCAAGCTTACTGAAGAGCACAGAGGCAGTTTACAAGCAAACTTTTGAGACAAGGAGCAGGTGTGGCAGTCTGAAGCAGTAGAGCAAGGAACAGTCTGGGTAGGAAAAAAAGACAAATTGAGGCTAAGTTCCAGTTATCAGATAACACACAAAACTGGGAAAAGAATGGCTGAAAACTCATTTTATTTAAGCCCAGAAGTAGAATAAACCACCCAGGAATTTAAAAAAAAAAAAATCAAAGTACGCCTTTGTATATTTTGTATGCCAAGTATATTTTGTGAAGCTAACTTACTTACAGAGCTAAAGCCAGAATACCTTCAAGAACCACCTTGCTGGGAACACAGGCAAGATTGAGTAACTAAGCCTCCGTGCTACCACACAGGACACGAGAGAAACCCTCCTCAGAGTATATGCTGTCCCAGCTTTTACAAGCCCTTTACCCAAAATAAAATTCCTATTCCTTGGAGCCTTCTAAGTCAAGTGAAATAGCTGAGGGCATGGTTTCTGGATAAGTGGTCATAATTTCAACTGATAAATATGTAGGTAAGATAAATTCCCCTCATGCTTTTCAGCTTCCAGTAGCCAAGAGAATGAGACACATGGAAGGACCCGGTCCTGCTGAGAACTAAAAGAACAACCTTCCTCTCTTCTTTGTATTTGAGACAACGGCATCAGCACAGCTGGTTTCGAATAAATGAGTCCTGCTTGCTTAAAAGCCATCTTATCAGTGTAGCAGAGGAAAATGTGTGATTTTTTTTAAAAGTGAGAGGGACTTCAGCACAACTAGGGGGTTACCAAGTTAATTCTCAGAACTACTTTGCTTGTGTTCTCACACACAGATTAAAAGCTGCAGATCAATAAAGCCTTCTGGCTCTGTATCACTGTTAATCAGTGCCAGCACAGTGTACTCAAGAGACAGATTCCTTTGCACAAGCTTCCTTCAGCAGAAGGGAAGAAATATGCCCAATTCCCACTTATTGCCAGCATAAAAACTTAGCAAACAGGACCACAAACTTTTGACATTAAAAGATTGCTAAAAAAACCTATTAATATCAAAAGGAAATAAAAGCTGGGCACGATATCTGCTTAAGAATCATAAATGTTCTCTGCTGGCTGTTAGGCAATTTTAACAGTCTTCCCTAACCACTGCTTTGGCTAACTAACACCAGTCAGATGCCACTTCAAAAACTGGAGGCACGTGCTGCTCAGAGCCATTTCGAACTGCATAAAACATTACAAAAATTGAGTTTTCCAGCTCGATTTGCAACTGCAAGTGAAATACAATTAACACCTGCATTTGTAAACGCATTATAGAAATGTCATTCTTCACAAAAGAATTTGAGGTATTTTATCTATATAGCAATCTTTATTTCAAAATGGCATTTATTACAAAAAAATGTAAAAATCCAGCTAAACCAGAAACATTGAGATTATTTTCCTGGACTACCAAGTCCATGGATCTTTGTCCCCATATCCCTTTCCTCGCAATATTTTCCCCACTTCCAGTCTGATTACACAGGTGCAAATGTGCCCAAACGGCCTGGAATAGATAAATACATTGAGAAAGGCAAAAGCTGTAAAGCTAAATGCATGCAACAAGTTCTATCAGGAAGAAACCCTCAAAAATAAACGTTATGTGGAAAGCAGAGATAATCTGCAGGTATCCAGGGATTTGCTCAGTCATCCTTGTCTTTTGCTCCGTGTTTCAGGATGCGCGTGAATTCAATGTAGTTGAAATTCCCCTTTTTGTCGATGGGCGCCTCTCTGTACAGCTCATCTACCTCTTCGTCTGTGAACCTGTCCCCCATCGTCGTCAGCAGCTCCCGCAGGTAGTCCTCCTGGATGAACCCTAGAACACAATGTAAGAGGACGTAAGAAGTTTTGACATTTATCTGCTAATAGATGAACGATAATACCTTTCTTTGAATTCTTTTTTTTCAATTAAAGAGACCCACAGTCTTTGTTGCCAAATGAAAACAAAGCCATTAAAGCCTATTACTATAATTGCCAAATAATTACAAGCATTCAATCAAGTCAAGCCTCTTAGTTTGCATGTTCTCACTACTTCAAGTAAAGGCCATTTTATGACTTGCCTGTGTTGTTTCAAAGAATATGCAAATTTGTCACTATACATATGGGACCTTCTTCCCAACAGCAGGGCTATGCTCCTGGTAGTGCTGAGCCTTCTAACAACTGTGTATTTTGCACAAAGGGGATCCTTTTGTCTTGAACATTCCTAATGAAAACCACTAAAAAAAAAATAATAATGATGGAACCTGACTACCATTGTGTTCCACAAGTGCATGAAACATCGAAATTTGAAATACTTCAAAGATTTAAAACTGATCTTAAATCAGTGACAACACTCAGATTTACGAGACTGGTTGCAAAGAGTACATTTTTGGCATTATTTATTAAACAAGCAGCCTTATGCAACTTGTGATGCCTTCTATCAGCACTCTTGTGAGACACACGCTTTTTCTTATATGCGTTTTCTTCTCCTTTAAGAGCAGCTTAACTAAGGGAAGGTAGATACAAATTGCGGACAGAAAACAAATTCTTCATAAAAGCACAACAGCTTTGAAGACAAGGATTCCCCTTACAAAAGTTGCCCCAAAGCTGAATTTTAAGTGAATTTTAAGACCCTGGTTCCCAATCAATATCTATCCCCCGCCCCCCCTCCCCCCCACTTTCTCCTGTCTTGAACAACAGAACTGAAGTGCCAGAAGTTTGGGATGTTCAGTTTTACAGTGTTTGAAAAGGTAATTTCAGCTGCTGAGGATACATGGCAGGATTTTTAGTTTGCAGAAATCAGAACATTCAGAGTTAAAAATTCATCACCGCTTTTATAAATACAAGTATTTCTGGTACTTACTTTTGTAACCATCTTATTTTACCCACATACCTGTTGCTTCTTCATCAAAGCACGCAAAAGCATTCCTGATGACGTCTTCCGGATCGGTGCCATTTAACTTCTCACCAAACATTGTCAGGAACATTGTGAAGTTTATGGGGCCTGGAGCCTCATTCATCATGGCATCTAGGTATTCATCCGTTGGATTCTTCCCTACAAATAAAGCGATTCGTATTTGCTTTAGCTTTCAAACAAAAAGAAAAAGTAATCTGAATAGCGTAATACAAACTGAGACACCTCTCGTAAGCTATCCCAAACTCAGTATTTTAATTACAACAGTGCCAATTTGCCTGGCAACCATCAACAGAAAAGCGACGTTACCAAGGGAGGCGAGCATATCGTGCAAGTCCTCTTTGTCAATGAAGCCATCCCTGTTCTGGTCGATCATGTTGAAGGCCTCCTTGAATTCCTGAATCTGCGACTGATCAAACATGGCAAATACATTGGAAGTGGCACGCTGAGGGCGCTTCTTGGTGGCCTTCGTCTTTGCCCTTTTGCTAGACATGTTGGCTGTTGGTTCTGGGGAGGCAGAAACATAACCAATATTTAGCCTTATTAAATCAGATTAGGAGTCCTTGGGAGACAGATGGATAAATAGTATCAAATTCTATGCTATAAGCAAATACCCCAAAGTACATATTTAGTATCTCCTGTTCTGTTTTCTTTCATCTGGACTTTATTTCAGCATAATGTCTTTCAGGATTCAGGGACTGGCACTGTTGGCCAATAGCAGGCTACACTAAAAAACAAATCAGACCACAGTTCTTGAAGTGAAACTCTCAGCGCTTGTACTGCTGATTCGATACTCTATCTCCATCTTTCACAAATTAAGATGACTACACACTTAGCAGTTTAGGAGGCAGCGTTGACCTACCATGTAGAAGGATATGGGCTGCTAACCTAGCATAGTATGCAGTGGTTAAGTCAGTCAAGCAGTATGCTAAACTTAAATTTAGGCTCAGAATAGCATTTTGTTGGAATAGCTGCTGTTAAAAGAGCAGTAGGTCTCAAGACACAGAATGACCCTGATAAGAGCCTAATGTTTTTGTGAAGATCAGAGCATGGTGCTGGGGCCAGGAAAGATCTGGCAAAGAACTCCGGTCAGAGCGCTTTCATCAGAGTCAGCCTGAGGATTGTGTGTGTTAGAAAAAGGACACTGACATGGTTCAGAAGCACTACATTGCTATTCTCTTACACAGTGGAACTATTACACGGTACATATACAAATGTATTATGTCGATTCATTTGAAAATAGTTTTAAAAGTCTGAAGATAGTTTCTTTTAAATTATCAACCCTTTAAGACATTTATATATCCTCACTGAATCTTTATATAGTTTCATGTATCACACATATACAAATTTAATTGTTTCCCTTGAGCTATCAAATGAAGAAATAAACATGGTAGTTTACATGTTGTAATACTAATATAACCAGAGCAAAAATGAGGCTTTCAAGCTAACTGCTTCTTTTTAGCCAGGAATATACATTTAGTGTTCAACTATGGTTGACAGTACAAACACAAAAAGCTGAGTCATCCACTGCAATGCAAACACAAAACCTCAACATTGCTATGGGATGAAAGTAAGGTAGACCCTGTTTAAAGTTGTTTCTAAAAAGTCTTGTACACCCCTACACTTTAGTTTTATCTACTGCAAGCAATCCATGCTGCTATAATCCTTTATTATGCCCAAAGCACGTTATGCAAACCAGATTCCTTCCATCCTCGATTTTGAATTTTACAGGAAGCACCTGCAGCAAGTGTCCTGAAATAGGACAAATCTAAGCTTCACCTATCGTCACAAGAATGCCAACATTTTGAAATTTACACTACGTATTAATTTTCTAACTTTAAAAAAAAAATCATCATCTGGTCAGAAATGCAATTCTAATCAAAGTCACAGCACAGTTCCAACAGTTTCTCAGATAGTTTGCTCAAAGTTACTACATTTTCTGTTAGACTCCTACAAAAGCAAGACTAAAGTAACTAACTTGTATTCATCCTTAAAAACAAAGGGAGAAAAATTAAGCAAAGTAACTCCCTTACATGGTGAATCAATCTAATATTCAGGGAAAAAGCAGTTAGGTTTTTTTGGTTTTAATTAAAAGAAAGATTTTTACCTTGCTTTGTATCAGATACATGGCATGCTGTACCAAGCATCTGGATCATAAAAGGATACTCCATGGTTACGTCCTTCTCAGTCTGTCTACAAAGAGCATTACCGATTTCCCCTGCTAATTCCACACTTTTAAATCCTGCGTGCATATACAACGTTCTTCTGACGTATTAAAAAACCGTTACGTCCCACACTAAAAATAGCCTATGAAATGCAACTGTGCATCGTTCAACAACACTGAAGTTCTCTTCATTGCATTCACTAACCACAAGCTGTCTGAGATGTTTGGCCTCCAACAACACTTCAACAAATAAATATGAACTCCTGACATCTAGATATTTATGAAGACAGCTGACAACAAAGGTAGTTTGCTTTCAAGCTGCAGTCAATAGTTGTGCATAACTTTGGTCTTTCTCTTACCTCTGCAGAAACACTCATACAAGCTACTGTTAAATGCTGAATTACTGATTAAAAGTTCCACTACCCAGAACAGAGTCAATCAACACATGTTAATAACGGTTCTCTGAAACAATTCATCACTTTCAGGACACAGCCTATTCAAAGCAAACTAAAAAGTTTACTTTGCACGTGCTGCAAAGCAACACTCACAGCAAGCCACTACCTGCAGTTCTCTCGGGTATAATTCAATCCTGATTGAGGGGAGGTAGCAAAAGCAGACTAGTGCTGACTGTAGCTACTCATGGGGGAAGAGAGACCATTTCCTTCTAATTCTGTTCAGAAGATTGCCATATCAGAATATCGTACCAGAGAAGAAAAATTTGCCAGTGCTTGCATTACTGTTTTCTGAGTTTCTCTCAGCCAGGCTTGGGAGGCAACCATACAGAATGCAGAAGGCACGACTCTCTCACTTGAAGAGACTGGTCAGCCTGCATATGGAGAAACATTAGGTCTCACAAGACTAGTGCCTTTCAGCTCAAGTTTGGTGCAGCTATGCTTGAAATGGTAAAATACTGGCTGGCTGGGTGGTGATGAATGGAGTTAGATCCAGCTGATGGCCGGTCATAAGTGGTGTTCCCCATGGCTCAGTTTTGGGGCCAGTTCTGTTTACTATCTTTGTCAATGATCAGGATGAGGGGATTGAGTACAACCTCCGTAAGTTCGCAGATGACACCAAATTGGGTGAGAGTGTCTGTCTGCTCAAGGAGAGGAGTGGTCTGCAGAGGGCCCTGGACAGGCTGGTTCAATAGGCTGAGGTCAGCTGTATGAGGTTCAACAAGGCCAAGTGCCAGGTCCTGCACTTGGGTCACAACAACCCCATGCAACGCTACAGGCTTGGGGGAAGAGTGGCTGGAAAGCTGCCTGGCAGAAAAGGACCTGGGGGTGTTGATCAACAGCATGCTCAATACGAGCCGGCAGTGTGCCCAAGTGGCCAAGGAGGCCAATGGTATCCTGGCTTGTATCAGAAATAGCGTGGCCAGCAGGAGCAGGGAAGTGATCCTGCCCCTGTACTCAGCACTGGTGAGGCCACAGCTTGACTACTGTGTTCAGTTTTGGGCCCCTCAATACAAGAAAGACATTTGGGCGCTGGAGCGTGTCCAGAAGAGAGCAAAGCTGGTGAAGGGTCTGGAGCACAAGTCTTACAAGAAGCGGCTGAAGGAACTGGGGTTGTTTAGCATGGAAAAAAGGAGGCTGAGGGGCAACCTTATGGCTCCCTACAACTGCCTGAAAGGAGGTTGTAGTGAGGTGGGCGTTGGTCTCTTCTGCCAAGTAGCAAGTGATAGGACAAGAGGAGATGGCCCCAAGTTGTACCAGGGAGGTTTAGATTAGATATTAGGAAAAATTTCTTCACTGAAAGGGCTGTCAAGCATTGGAATGGGCTGCCCAGGGAAGTGGTCAAGTCCCCATCCCTGGAGGTATTTAAAAGACAGGTAGACAGGGTGCCTGGGGACATGGTTTAGTGGCGGAATGGCAGTGTTAGGCTAACAGTTGGACTTCATGATCTTAAAGGTCTTTTCCAACCTAAAGGATTCTATGAAATACTGCACTCAGCTCTGGAAAACTCTATTAGAAAGAGGGTAATAAATTGGAAGGTGTTCAGAAAAACAAGGACATCAATCCAGTTAGCCAAAGAGCTTACGATGGAAAAAGTTCCAAGTACTTACACTTATTGTTATCTGTGTACAATAGTGAATGACGTAACAGGCAAGAACTAACCTAGTTTGAGTCAAGCGCTGCACCCACTAATTTCAGAGAAAATAGTATTTCATCCAATAAATCCACCAGGTTGTTTACTTAGAAAAAAACCACATGCTTTTATAATTGAAAGAGCGTAACTATAAGCTGAAAATAGAATAATTTCAGTATACAAAAAGTGGAAATACTTCACATGAGATAGTACAAGTCATGACAAGCAGGTTTAGTCTGTTGTTTAATACTATGATACACTGAATGGTCTGGGCCTTGGTTTGGAATCTGTTCAAGAAACTTCTCAAGTAAGATCTTGCCTGTAAAACGTACTATATTTCCAAAACCATAACCTTCATTTAGGAAGATTTTCACATACTAAAAAAATGAATAAATTGCACCCACTGGACTAGAGAGGTAGTAACAGCACTGCGCCACACTGTGCTGCTTGTACATTTGCTTCGTTGAGCAACAGCAATGGGCAGCAAACTACAGAAACACAGGAAGTCATCTCACACTCCTTACCTCTTAGAAAAAGACGAACCCCAGGAGGAGACAAAACTGAGCAACTAAAGAGCTTGAGCCACACAATAAGATACGAAACTTTAAAAGCCACTTACAGTGGTGCCAGTTTGATCTGTTCAGAGGCAGTGACCAGAAGTCATGCTTCAGTCAACAGCCCCGTGTTTCAACAGTGGTTTTATAATGACTGCAAATGTTTTATCACTCGAAGTTAAAAACAAACAAAAAACCCCCACAACAGAAAACACACCCAAGAAAGTCTCTACATAAAATCTAGTAATGAATATTTTATTTCAACACTGCCAATTATTTGGGAACTTTATCAAACTAAGATGTAACACCCACCTTCTCTTAAATCAGCAAGTTCAAAACTCAGCCTCAAAGCTAAATCCCAAGTTCTGTCCGTGTAATCAGTTACCACCTCAAGGACCACCACTCATCCATCACAGTCTGGGTGGTAGCAGGAGAGGATCAGACCAAGGCACTCCAGCGGATCTGTGGCAAAGCTCAGTAAAGAGCAGATTATACTTCAAAAAAACCCCAATACCCTGCACAATCTCACCTAGTCTTGAAAGCCATCTCAATACGCTCCTCGTTAACAAGTTTTCCTACATCCTTGTATGAGGAGTCAAACCTGCCTCAAAATCTAGTTTTTGTGATTCGACAAAGCCTCTGTCCGCAAGTTAAGAGAGTGGAAACCACTACAAACTGCCCCGAATGGCCTTGCCGAGGCCACAATTATTTCGAAGCGTAAGCAGCAAGGGACAGACTCACCACCTCTCCTGCCACCTCAACCTCTTCCAACCGAGGAGCTTTCGGACCAGCCCTTCCGCTGCTGTAACAACGGCGGGGAAGCGGCTGGAGAGGGCCGGCGCGGCCGGGAGGCAGCTGAGCCCTTCCGACCGGCTGCCTGGGCCACCGGGC